TAAATAAGGAGATTATATGTCAGCTATCTAATGCCACTGAGCAATCTTTATCCTAGAAGATAAAATCTCCTGTTGTCTCTCTCCATCTCTGAGTGAAGTTATCTCACTTTCTTTTCTGTCCTTTGCAAGCACAGCAGGCATGCTGTGTGACAAACGGCACACAAACAGTTTGTGTGTCTGCTCTTATGAGTATGTTTGAAAAATTGCACTGGAAATTCCTTGAGGTGACTCTTGTTGTGAATTGGAGCTGTATAAATAACATTGAACTTAAATTATCCACAACTTTAAAAAGTTTTATGCTTACTTCTCTTCCATAGCACTAGATGCAGAACCACCAGTGTTGTGAAAAAAAACTTATTATGACCAGCTTTCAGATATCTGGACCATAACACACTGTTCTGGATTGTTCCGGCCCACTTTAAGCCTTGAAAACAGTGCTGTAAATGATGCACGGACTACATTTTTTCGCCCTGTTTATTTGTTTATGTGCAATAAGTACTGGTCACGAATACCCCAATAGAACTGTGTTTGATATGTTATTGTTGCCTCCATTTAGGTTCAACTTTGTTTGATATTTCAAGACACACAGTAACCTGAAATAATAACTCAAATGTCCTCACATGTCTTAAACTTAACAACCCTGAGTAGAAAATGGAGATATTTGTGTAAAAATGTAGGGACTAAAAGTGAAAAATAAATACTTAAGTACAGTTGAGATTTGTACTTGTACAACCACAACCCAAGTGACTATGTCTCTGAAGGAAAAGGCAGTGAATGTATGAGATATCTTTGTCACTACATTTGTACTGCACTGATTCACTTTTCTGTGAGGGAGCTAATCTCAGTTGTGGAGAGGTGAGGGTGGTACATCTGGCCAGAACTAAATCAGAGAGCCAAAGCCACCAGAGCTGTTTGGAGGCTAAGCAGGTCACCTACTAATCGAAAGGTTGGTTATTCGATTCCCATCTGCTTGAGTCTGCGGCCCAAAACTCCTTGGGCAAGATATTAATCCCAAGTTGCTCTCCCGTCATCATCCATTGGAGTATGAACGAGTGTGAATGTTAGATAGAAAGCACTTGTATAGAGGTAAGTTGTATAAAGCGCTTTGAATGCTCAGAGTAGAAAAGTGCTATATATAAGAACCAGTCAAATGGTACCAGTCCATTTACCAAATGCTAAATTGGATACTTGTCACGCTTAAATGTTTTAGACATAACCTGAGTAAACACAAAATGCAACTTTTAAATGATAATTGAATATATTAAGGGGGAAAAAAATCTACCTTGCACTGTGTGGAAAAAGTGATTATACCTGTCGAGAAAGGTGGGATTCAGCGAGACATTAAAGTAAATGATGTATGTGCACAAGTCAGATAGATGGAGAGAGGATGATAGTTGTCGCTGGACATCTGGTGATCAGGCGATCAGGCGTTAACAACGTGACTGGATGTCACAAAGGGTCGGGCCAGATGTCATCTCAGAAGATGTGACGTCCAGAAAGAGAAGGAGGAGAAAGTTTGACCAGGTATAAAAGTTAGGTGAAAAAGAGATACACGGTTCTTTCCTTTGTCCTCTGCAAGATGAGCAGTTCAGAAGATCAAATATAAGATGTTAAAGATTCCAGCAGAGACTAGAGGGATCAATATACCTGCATACCAGAAGCATCTAGTGCTGTTACTGCCCCTAACCCTCACCCATCAGGCTCTATCTAAGCTCATTTATCAGAGGTTAGGACTTTTTAAACAGAGAGCCAATCCAGATCTCCTGTATTAGGGTGTTGGTTCACCAGATCCACACCCCCTAAACCTAATAAGTGACACCCTTTGAAGCAAGAACTGTAATCAAACATTTTTGATAACAAGAGTTCATTTTGTTGTTTGAACCCTGATCTTGACTGAGGCAATTGATGTGGATGCATTGGGGTACAGTATCTTGCCCAAGATAAACTGGAGAAGGGGGGGATAAAGCCATTGAATTTTTGATTAGTAGACAACTTACTCTACCACCTAAGCCACACCTGCCTCTTCTTCCTTCTTTCCTTATCAAATGGCCAGAAATAAAAGGACAGTTAAAATTGTGTTGCTTCTAAAACAACAAACGGATGCTGCTTGTGATGGATCCACAACTCTCCAGAGGTCATTGTTTGCTGTTTTTTCCCCCCCCTTCTTGAAGTCTTACTTTTAAAAGGAGTCTGAAGGTCGTTCTGGATGTTGAAGCAGAAGTTTGAATAAGCACATGTCTGCTTGTGACAATAGAGGAAAAGCTGGGGTGGACAGACGTAGCATCTGTATTCCCATACAGGATGGGCAAACTGTCTGTACAATCTCACCTCTTTGTTCTCTGCATGTGTTTGTGTGTGAGTGTGTGGCGCTCAGGCTGAAATGAGACACTTGATATCTGGCAGGATCCAGCAGTGGTATAGGATATCAGGAAACACAGGGCTGTGTTACATACACAGACGACCTTAAAAGTATCAGATAATACTTCAGATGCAGTATGCCGGGACTCTGAGTAAAATGTTTCATCACCAGATCAGAAAAGCCTTTTTTCCCCCCACAAATATCCACATACTCACACAAACAGGAACTAACAAAAATTGGGCAAAATTCATGACGCACTGACACTTTCTCTAAGGAGGTACCACGGTCCATTGATAATACTGGATTACTGAGTTGAGCTCTGAGTTACAGACAGTCTGCCTGTCTCATTTGTTTATGTTAACGATGTGCTTTTTGTTGATTTTCTATATGTAAACATCAAACATGAGTAGGAAGGGGAGGGGATGAAGGACTTTACTCCAATGAATTTCTGTAATAGTCTTTAATCTTTCCTTCTTCCTGCTCTGTGTTTGTCACCATCATAAGTATTGTGCCTGTCCTGGCTGATTAGCTCATCTCAGTGACACAACAGTATATCAGTCACCTGATATACTTTTACACATCCAGCTACACTCTGTTTCAGCTGCTTTAGCCTATCCATTTCTAAGGGACTTTACAACCCACTACCCTGTCATCCCCATATTTCATTTTCAGTTTCATATCTGCTGACATGGTTGCCCACTCTGCTCAGTGATGGCCTATGAACTGAACGGTGATGCTAAATTGCTCTAAATTAAATGGCTAAATGGCTGAACTAACGACACTTTGTGTCCTTGGAAAGTATTCACACCGCTTTACCTGTTCCACATTTTGTCACATTATAGCCTTATTCAAAAAATGAATTCAATTCTTTTCACTTCAAAATTCTACTTGCAATACGCCTTAATGACAAAGTGAAAAAACTTGCTTGAAAATCTTGCACATGTATTGAAAAACTCAAAAAACCCACTGTGACATGCACATATTCATAGCGTTTATGGATCCTGTTTACACTGATCATCTGTTAGATCCACCTATGGTAATTCCTCTTTACATACAAGGTCTTGAGTAATCTTAAACACCTCATAGTACCATAACACCCCATTAGAACACTTTGGTCTCAGACTGCTGGTTTACTTGGGGTTTGTAGGATATTTAAAAGTAGAATAGGATGCAGAGGCTTCAGCTTTCAGGCCCCTCTTCTATGGAACCAGCTTCCAGTTTGGATTCAGGAGACAGACACCATCTGTACATTTAAGATTAGGCTTAAAACTTTCCTTTTTACTCTATGTGTTTATACACCTCTCTGCATTTAATCATTAATTATTAGTTATTATTAATCTCTTGCTCTTTGAGGCAACTGTTGATGTGATTTGTCCCTATATAAATAAAACTGAAAGAAAGAAAAGGAATTGAATATAAATGGTACAATTATTAAAGATGAGGGTTCTATGGCACGTGAATTTAATAACACTGTATACAGTTAGCAGTAGAATTAACTCAGAATTTCAATTCTTCAGTTGTAACATAATAACTGTGGAATCATCAGATTTATTTTGCGTGCAAGAGGGTAATGAAGCAGAAATCATGGAGATGATTAATGATTTGGACACTTGTTTCATTCAAAAAAATACAGGAATTCATTGTGAAAACCATTGGCACATCTTTTTAATTTATTGAAAAAGGCAGTAGCAGGGTTTTATATGTAACTGTCATCCAATTTCTGTACTCCCTGTCCTGTTCAAGGTCAGAGAAGATTGTGGCAGCCTTCATCCACATCAGTTTGGTATTAGACCAAAATGTCCTGCAGAAGCTGCTCACTGTTACTTCATTAAAAATATTATTTGCTTTTTGGATGATGGCGATGTTTTCTAGGCAGTTTTTCTTGACTAGAAAAAGGAATCTGACACTGTCAGCCATGACATACTTCTGTCTAAACTAAAGTTTGACTTTCCAAAATAAGCAGCAGATTGGTTTGAATCCTATCTTTATAAAAGAGAGCAGGGTTAACCAAGAAATGTATTGTTAGGAAACAGAATGATCATCCACCAAGGATCAGTCCTTGTTTAGCAATGACCTCCCTGCCATTTGCATCTTTTACAGTAAAGGTCAAAAATGGTTAAAGGTAAATCAGACTTGTAGTCATTTATATTAATTAAATTGTAATTTTACAAATATCCACACCTTTGGAAATATGCTTTTTCTATCCTTCTCACTTTGTCTGTTACACTATATTTTACACTGAATTTTTTGTAGTTTTGTAAGTTTGGTGTATTATGGTTTTATGTAAGCACAACAAGGGGCCTGGGCCATGTGAGGCACATTAGTTGGAACTATGTTAAACTGCATTGTGTCTCCTAAATAAAACAATAAAAATTAAAATTGTTCTGTGTTTCAAGCAGCAGCCAATGAGATCAAAGCACTGCCAGACGTGTCAGCACTGCGTCCGGCGTTATGACCATCACTGTCCCTGGATTGAGAACTGCGTTGGTGAGAGGAACCACCGCTGGTTTGTGTTTTACCTGGCCTTCCAGCTGCTAGTGCTTCTATGGGGCCTGCGCATTGCCTGGTGAGCAACACCACCCATCTCTACCTCCATGTTACTGTTGCTGCTGTTGCAAAGCTGTCACATCCTATTGCTCTCTCCTCTTCAGGACGGGTTTCACCTACGTACCCATCTGGCACCAGTGGCTGCGTACAAACGGAGTCCTGACGGCCGTGACCATGCTGCTAGCGCTGCTCTCGCTCATCGTACTGTTGCTGCTGGGCTCCCATCTATACCTGGTTTCTCTCAACACAACCACGTGGGAGTTCATGTCGCGCCACCGCATCTCCTACCTCAAACACTGCGGTGCAGATGAGAACCCCTTTGACCGCGGGACATTCCAAAACCTTTGGGGTTTCTTCTGCGTCTGGGGCACAGTGGTGTGGGAGCATGTGTACTTTAAGGAGGGCAGCGATCAGGTTTAGGTACATTTCAGTGATGAACAGCCTCTCTGGATCTGGCATTACACACCAAATAGGAGGATAAACTGTGCTTGTGAGCGGTTCCCTTTACATAGGCATTTGTGTCGTTGTGCCATAACTGTGGAGCGTTTCCCTCCTTCTCATCCTCTCAGTTGTTCTTTATTGCAATTGATTGCCTGCATTTCCTGTTTTTACCTCAATGCAGTCGTAGTGAAAACTGTGGGAACTTTCAAATAGTCAGTTTTGGTTAGGAAGTTTTCTAATGAGTAAAGTGATACAGGTGTAGCTGCATGACAGCTATAACAAAAGCATTTCAAATTCTGGTCTAAAGACCTTATGTCAAGGTCTACATCAAGAGAACTAAGAGCTATAATAATTGACTTAATTAAGTATAATGCACAGTTCACATTTGGAATGTTTGTTGTTCTTTAGGATTATCATGGAAACAATTTTTACTTTAGGTCAGCTAGAATAAGTGATGGATGGAGGTAATTTTACTTCAGTCATGGAAATCAAGGACTTGAAATAAATCATTTTCCTGCTCATGTGTCTTACGGGCTATGGGGCAGGGCAAATTAGCATGACGCCCTAATGATCATGATCTAATAATGGTGCACTAATTTAATGAAATTTAAAGATGCAGCCGATTCATTTCAATAATAATCAATATGCTGCCAAGAGCAGAACAAATTAGCAGCTCAAAAACAGCAGAACCGGTGAGAAACCCAACGAGGATTGTGCGAACCAACGCAGGTCTTAGAAATAGAAACTGCTGGAGAATGTGAGGCTCAAAGGTCTGAGACACAGCTGGAGCTCAGGATTTATCCAGCATTTTTCAAACAGCTGTATGACCTGTAAGATGTGTAGAAGGTAAACAAAAGCATCAGATCTTGAGCCTC